AACATTATGTAGCTGAGGTCTAAAATATTAACATAGTCTTTAGATCAGTGTCTCTAAATCTGGTCCGCAAGGACCTACAGACAGTCCATGTTTTTGCTCCCTCCCAGCTGGCAGGGAGCACGGAAGGAGCAAAAACGTGGACCGGCTGTGGGTCCCAGAGGACCAGATTGGGAAACACTGCCTTAGATTAAATATACCAATAATAACATTTTTCTTCCATTCGTAAGCAGGCCGCACATGAGCTGAGGCCATAATGAAGAATCACATGAGCCTTGAAATCCTGAAGCGGCTTATATCCATTTAATTTCTTTTTTTCTATGTTTTTAATTGGAAGTCAAAAATGTAATTGAAGCGAAAAGATGTGCTGTAGCGTGTTTCATTGTTAAATGGTGCCTATATAAACCGTGACTGATCGACATTGTTTTGTTACGTTGCTATGGCTATTACATTTAAATGGAATACTCTGCAGCCTGCATGCGTCATCTTAAAATGAAAATCTGGCAATAATTAGTTTCGATTAGCTTCTAAAAATACACATACGGGTCATGTGCCAGCCCGTTTCAGGCCTCGCTGAAGTGAAGACACTTCAGATGTGTCCCTTTGTCAACAAAATTATATTCCCACAATACATACTGCGTGATTAAAGGGCTTTTCTTTGTGAAGTCCTTTGCAATACTCTGCATGGACCCTTCATGGAAGCAGCATGCTTGTGGGCTGGGCAGAGACAACAGACAAACTAAAACAAAGACAGGAAAGGTTTGCCCCTCCTCCAGTTTCAAATCCCTTCCAGCTATTTATCAGGTTTCCTCTTCGACGACGGACTTCCCAAAAATCAGATGCCAGAGCATACTGGGCGATAAACAAGGACAATTAAGTAGTGTTTAGAAAAATGGAGTTTTTTTGTTTTAGAGAGAGCATGTACAGAAAATGTTCCCAAATTCATTGTATTTTAATCAATTATAATAATAAGTATATGTATATAGCGATAATATATCATTAAAATGTACTGAGTACTAAATTCTCCCACAGCTAATAGGTAACTTTACTTTATGCACTTTTATCAACCAATTGTCATTGCACATCTTTTCAGTCATTGATGGTCTATTTTTATTGTCTATTCGGCACCCATTTCATTTTATTATTGTTTTTATTGTTATTTTATCCTTATTTAACATTATTCTTTTTTTTTTTTTGATCTGATCTTTTTATATATTTAGATTTTTTTTCTGTGTATTGAATATTTCGTCAAGCACAGTCCAGGAAGCAGATGGACAAGAATTTCACTACAGAGCGTAGAGCATGATTGTGTTTGCAAAAAAATAAAAACCTGAAGCTTAAATTCATTCATGCATACATAACCTTGTCGACACTGTGCAAAAGCTTTTATTGAGCTTTTTGTTGTATTCTGGAATTTCCCATCAGATTTTATGACATCCTGCATTTTATTTTTCCTTTTGACTTCGACCAGCAGCCCTACCTGGCCATGTCATGGCCTCTCTGATCTTCACCCCTGTTGAGAACAACAGAGGAGTTTCATCTACTGGGGAATATGGGTCTAATAAAAGTAGCTTTATTTGGGCCTTGTGTCCGTTTGCCCACAAAATCGCTGCATGTTTTTTTGTCACGACGCTAAAGAAACATTCTGAGCTAGACTGTTTTTAAGCTACAGTAGTTTTTCCTGTATAAAGTGCTCCTTCTGGCTGGATTAATGACACCCTGGAACAGAGCGAGGTCAGGTGACCAGCCCAGTCATTCACTTCACATGCACTCTATTACCAGCAATATTGGATTCTGTTCCCTCTTGTTCTCCCCCCCCCCACAGCTTCAATAAAACTGTTCCCAAATAAAGTCCACATTCTGTCCCGATCCATGTCACTTTATTTTGTTCATCATCCCACCACAAGCAATTTCTTTACAGAGTTTCACATACAGTATGTTCTGTGTATTTTGCTTATTTTATAAGAACTAAAACAAATCAAATTTGCAGCATGACTAGTAGTACATATGTACATTACATTATAGTTTACATATGTATCGACTTATATTGTGTAGTAAACAGGGTTGCAGGAAATGTGGGGTATAGGGAGGATGTGC